TATCTGTCTGTCTGGCGAGTGCACGCGCCCTACAGTGAAAATCTCTCAAAAAAAAAAAAAAAAAACCAATTAGACCTCATAACTGACCTCACTCTTGCTTGATTTGTAAGCATAAGTAAAGCGTAACTTGGGTCTTTTCTGATAAATACTTATGTTAGAAATAAAACTTAACCCTCGATAATCATAAACAGCTAACATGATCATTAGGGGCTTTCAACTTTGTGGTCCAGTCCGTGGTTGGACTGGCTGGATCTGCACAGCAACTGAGCAGTTCAAGTCCCAGACCCGGCATCTTGAAACACATGCCTGGCTTATGTGCATGTGTGCCCAGAATCCTGATAGGAGAGAAGCATGGGGGAAAAGAGATAGTGCCATGACCGTGCCCTGTGGGAGGTTCTTTCTCACTTCCCTCTCTCTTTCCTTCTCTGTCTCTCTCCGGTAAGAGCATGTACCCTCTGGCAAATTTAAAAGGGAAGGGAACCAGCAGTTAGCGTAATGGCTGTGTCGCTGGACTCCCACGTAGTCGACCACAGTTCGCATCCTGGACCCGGTGGCTTAAAACTCACGCCGGGCGTGTGTGCGTGCGTGCCCAAGATCCCGAGAGGAGAAGGGAGGAGAAGGGATTGTGGCGTGACCATCCCTCCTGGGGGGTGATTTCTCGCTTTCTGTCTCTATGTCTCTCTGTGTGTGTCTGGCGAGCGCACGCGCCCTATAGCAAAAATCCTCTCCAAAAAAAAAGGAAAAAGGCAATTTTGTAATTACAAGCCAAATAATCTATTTTACTTCCTCATTTTCTCAATAAATACTTGAGGCTGACATTTTTTTCATTCAAATATTAAATCTTCTTCTGTCTGGCTTTCTCAATTCATGAATTACTTCTTTCTCAAACTCTAAAAATTACACCTCAGCCTACTTTTCTTCCCCAAAGAATTTTTTATTTATTTAATTCCATTTGTTATTTTTTTTTTTTTTAATATTGACAAGACAGATACAAAGAGAGGGAAAGGGAAACAAAGCCACCAGGTCTGGAACTCAAACCACGGTTGGACATGTGGGAAGCCAGCACCCTTAACCACCCTGCCATCTGCTGGTCCCTCAGCTTACTTTTTTTAAAAGAATAATTTTTTTAAAGAGGTTTTTGCTATAGGGCGTGTGCGCTCACCAGACAGAGAGAGAGAGGCAGAAAGCGAGAAATCACCCCCCAGGGAGGATGGCCACACCACAATCCCTTCTCCTCCATTCTCCTCTCTGGATCTTGGGCACGTACGCACATGCACCCGGCATGAGTTTTAAGCCACTGGGTCCAGGACACGAACCGCGGTCAACTACGTGGGAATCCAGCGACATAGCCATTACACAAACTGCTGGTCCCAAGAATAATTTTATTTGACTTTGTTAATTCACTTACTTTAATTTGATCAGAGAGGGACAGAGTGAGAGAGAGAGGGGGAAATTGAGGAAGCAAGCTGCCAGGTCCAGGACTTGAACCACAGTTGACCATGTGGGAGTCCAGTACCCTTAACCACCACACCACCTGCCAGCCCCTGCCTCAGCTTACTTTTAACACCCTTTACCCTTATCTGTGTGAATTTCCACCTTTCTGAGCCTCCTCTACCTCTTTAGAGGCTGTTGTGGGTACCAGTGAAAAGATCAAAATTGACCTTTTATTGAGCACCTGCCCTGTCCCAGCGACCTGGGATAAGTGCTATTCCTCGCATCATTTACAGAGGAGGAAACTTGAGACTCGACTCAGAGAGGCATGGTAACTCACCCAAGAGAGTAGATGGCAGAGTGGGGATGGGAACCTCCATCCCCACCACCGCATGCTGCAAATAACAGGTTTTGGGGAGAGGGCTGGCTCTGTAACCTAGCTTTCAATCATCCCAGGAGGGTATCCAGAAGCCATGGCTGTGGGGAACATCAACGAGCTGCCCGAGAACATCCTGCTAGAGCTTTTCATACACGTGCCCGCCCGCCAGCTGCTGCTGCGCTGCCGCCTGGTCTGCAGCCTCTGGCGAGACCTCATTGACCTCGTGACCCTCTGGAAGCGCAAGTGCCTGCGTGAGGGCTTCATCACTGAGGACTGGGACCAGCCCGTGGCCGACTGGAAGATCTTCTACTTCCTACGCAGCCTGCACAGGAACCTCCTGCACAACCCATGTGCTGAAGGTGGGGTACAGAGGGGGTCTGGGTGCCCCCCAGCACATACACTGTCAGGACACCGGCTCGTGTTTATTGAGTACTTAGTATGAGCGGGGCACTTTGGATGGTTGAACTCCTTTAATCCTCTCACAATAACCTTAAGAGTAGGCACTTTTAATGTGCCCATTTTTCAGATGGGCAAACTGAAACCAAAGCGATGTTCCTTATCTCACTCTTAAGATTGTTTCTCCACGGGAACCAGCAGTTAGCGTAATAACTATGTCGCTGGACTCCCACGTAGTCGACCACGGTTCGCGTCCTGGACCCAGTGGCTTAAAACTCACGCCGGGCGTGTGTGCGTGCGTGCCCAAGATCCCGAGAGGAGAATGGAGGAGAAGGGATTGCGGCGTGACCATCCCCCCTGGGGGGCGATTTCTCGCTTTCTGTCTCTCTGTCTCTCTCTGGCTGTCTGGCGAGCGCCCGCGCCCTATAGCGAAAAACCTCTCCAAAAAAAAAAAGATTATTTCTCCACGGGAACCAGCAGTTAGCATAATGGCTATGTCGCTGGTCTCCCACGTAGTCGACCACGGTTCGCGTCCTGGACCCAGTGGCTTAAAACTCACGCCGGGCGTGTGTGCGTGCGTGCCCAAGATCCCGAGAGGAGAATGGAGGAGAAGGGATTGCGGCGTGACCATCCCCCCTGGGGGGCGATTTCTCGCTTTCTGTCTCTCTGTCTCTCTCTGGCTGTCTGGCGAGCGCCCGCGCCCTATAGCGAAAAACCTCTCCAAAAAAAAAAAAAAAAAAGATTATTTCTCCAGTGTTTTTTTCTTAGGAAAGGGAATGTTGACCAGTTGGGACTAATTGTGTCCAAGACACAAGACCAGGAAGTGAGAGCCACACTTTGTTGACCTAGTCCCCAGGCTCCAGGGCAAAGGGGGTTTGCTTGCAGAAGAATGGGAGATTTTTTATTTTAGCCTTTCTAGGGTGTTACAACAGGTGAAAAGGCTTCTCCTATTGCCTGAAGCCCGTCTTCCCTTGTCGTGTTGTAACTGGTCAGGTCAACACTGGGATGGGAGAGGTTGGGGATCTTGTTCTCCTTTATGTGGCTGAATTCGAGAGCAGAATGATGCAACAGCTCCTCCAGGCTACCCAGAATCAGCCTGTACCCGCTCCGGCATGTTCTCGGCCAGCATTTGGCAAACTGTGGTCCGTAAACCAAATCTGGACCTGAGGGGCTAAGAATAGTTTTTACATTTAAAGGATTATAAAAATCACAAGGGGCAAGGGCAGCCAGCAGTGAGGTGGTTAAGGATGCTGGATCCCACGTGGCCAACTGCACAATTTGAGTCCCAGACCAGGTGGTTTGAAAAACATGCCAAGTGTGTGTGCACGCTTACCCGAAATCCAGCGTGGAGAATGTGAGAGAAGGGACTGTGGCATGGCTATCCCCCCGGGGGGTGAGTTCTCACTTTCTCCCTCTCTCTCTCCCCCTCTCATGATTGAATGTGCCCTATAGCAAATTTTTAAAAATCTCCCACCTTAAAACACACACAAGGGAGACAAAAATACCTTTGTGATAAACGTAGTAATGTGGCCCACAAAACCTAAAATATTTTGGTACTTTTAAAAAGAACAAATTTCTTGCTCCTGTTCTTGACTCCAGTTTACGAAGGAGAAAACCAAAGCTCAGAGAAGGAAAACAACTTGCCTAAGGTCACACAGCCTGGTACTGGTAGAGCTGGGAGTAGACCCAGGTCTGTCTGACCCAGGTTAGAGCCTTCTCCATCACAAGTGTCTGGTCATTCCCATCATAATGTGTCTCGGGAGTCGCAATGGAGGTCACTTACCAGGGTCCTCAGGACACAGGAAGCACCTAACACAAGGTGGGCACTTTTTTTTTTTTTTTGGAGAGGTTTTCGCTATAGGGCGCGTGTGCTCGCCAGACAGACAGAGAGAGACATAGAGACAGAAAGCGAGAAATCACCCCCCAGGGGTGATGGTCATGCCGCAATCCCTTCTCCTCCATTCTCCTCTCAGGATCTTGGACACGCACACACACACGCCTGGCGTGAGTTTTAAGCCACCGGGTCCGGGACGCAAACCACGGTCGACTATATGGGAGTCCAGCGACATAGCCATTACGCTAACTGTTGGTCCCTAACATGAGCTCTGCTTTCTCATCAGAGGGGTTCGAGTTCTGGAGCCTGGATGTGAATGGAGGCGATGAGTGGAAGGTGGAGGATCTCTCTAAAGACCAGAGGAAGGAATTCCCCAATGACCAGGTCAAGAAATACTTCGTGACTTCTTATTAGTAAGATTTGAGGGTCGTGGGTGGGGGGAACCCAAGTTACTTCACTTGGTGGTCTTTTCTGCCCTGGTGAGGGGTGGTCCTAGCCCCCAAGTGCCCTAGTGGTGAGCCCCAGCCCCTCCGCCCACCCCCCCCAGCACCTGCCTCAAGTCCCAGGTGGTGGACCTCAAGGCCGAAGGGTATTGGGAGGAGCTGATGGACACCACACGGCCGGACATCGAGGTCAAGGACTGGTGAGTGCCTGGGGCGAGGGTCTGGGGGGGGCCTGCCACTTAGGCGCCCCACCCCTACCCTGCCCCCTATCTCCGAGGCCCTGAAGGGCCCTCCCTCTGTCCGCAGGTTCGCAGCCAGGCCAGACTGCGGGTCCAAGTACCAGCTGTGCGTTCAGCTCCTGTCGTCCGCCCACGCACCTCTGGGGACCTTCCAACCAGACCCAGTGATGATCCAGCAGAAGAGCGATGCCAAGTGGAGAGAGGTGTGTGGGCCCTGGAGGGCGCAGGTGCAGATCGCCAAGACTGTACAGGAACCGGATGAGCCTGAGTTCAGAGCCAAGCTTGCTGCCTCTCACCTGAGCGTCCACTACTCTGAGCTTCACTGGCTTCTTCTGTAAAATGGGAATAATAGTACTTCCCTCCTAGAGCTCTGAAAGAAGTCCATGAAATAATGCTGGCAAAGCCAGATCCCCAAGGCATTCAAAAAAGTCGACTATTACTAACTGCTAATATCTATTATTATTATTATCTAGCCTGGAGTCAGCAGATGTTTTCCTGAAAGGCCAGATGCAAATATTTTGGGCTTTGTAGGCCTCTTGAACTTTGCTGTTATGTGATAGCAGCTTTAGACACTGTAAACAAATGCACAAGCCTGTGTTCCCATAAAACTTTATTTATAATAAATCAGTGGGCCAGAGGCCATAGTTTGCCAACCCCGGTCTAGCCAGTGCTGTCCAATAGAACTTTCTGCAGTGTCTGTTTCCGTACTGCCCTGTACAGTAGCCAGTAAGCACAAGTGACAGTAGTTTATCAGTCAGGGTAGACTGAGTACGAGCCAGTGTTCTGTAGTCACTTGTGGTTATTGGTTAACTATGACTGAGTAGCTGTTATTAATTTTTTTTAAGTTTTATTTATTTTTAATTTGCTGTAGGGCATGTGTGCTCACCCAAGAGAGAGAGAGACAGAGAGAGAAAGTGAGAAAGCAAGCTGCCAGTTCCAGGACTCAAATCACAGTCTGCCATTTTGGAGTCCAGCACCTTAACCACTATACCACCTGCTGGCCCCGCTGACCTAACTTTACTTCATTTTACCTTAAGCAGCCACATGTGCACACTGTGGTGACCGTATTAGGTATCCTTTGCTGACTTGCAGATTTTTAGTTCCTTTGAGCTGCATCATAATCTGTGGAGTGGACCAGGCAGAAGTTTGCTGTTTTACAGATGAGGAGACTGAGGCACAGAGAAGGCGGGTGACCTGCCCCCAATCACAGAAGTAGTACTAGAACTCCAGTCTGCTCGCTCCTCCTCCAGTACTAAGAACTCAGCCTCTCCCTTGCTCCCTTGCCCCCTTGGACAGTGCCACCTTAAGGGTCAACTCCTTGACCTCTCTCCTCCCTCTACCTGTACCCCTTAGGTCTCCCACACCTTCTCCAACTATCCACCCGGCGTCCGCTACATCTGGTTTCAGCACGGCGGCGTGGACACTCACTACTGGGCCGGCTGGTACGGCCCGAGGGTCACCAACAGCAGCATCACCATCGGGCCCCCGCTGCCCTGACGCCCCCTGAGCCCCCATCCGCTGAACCCTGACTGGTAAACTATTGTCAAAGAAGGGCCGGGCCTGGGAAGGGGAGGTGGGGCCAGGAGTCCCCAGGCCTCTTAGTTCACCTTACCCCCAGTTGCCTCTTCTTTCCGGAGCCTCTCTGTGTTCTTCGGGGGCTCAGAGCGAGGACAGGAAGGCCAGTCGGCAAGCTTGTTGCTGCCATGGATAATAGAAGCTGAGAGGTTACAGTGCAGTGCAGACAGATCTGGGAAGTAGGAGGAAGTCCCATCCCCATCCCGTCTGCTGCTCCTAAACTCTCGCTCTGCCTGCCTGCCTGCCTGCTCAGAAGAGGCGGCTGCAGCCTGGAGGCTCTGACCTGGTCGAACACGGGCAGGCCCAGGGTGGGGTGGGGACCAGGCCAGAGTGGATTGCCCTCTTGATGAAGCCCCAGAAGCCAGATGGGTACTGGGTAGAGGCAGAACTCCCCAGAGGACCCAGCTGACCCTATGCAGGGTGACCCAGAGCAGGCAGGAGGCAGGACAGTCCCTGATTCTGAGAGCTGGGACGTGTGAGCCCTGGATGAGTGGGGTAGGGGTTGTCTACCTCCAAGCCCAGGCCAAGCTCCTTGAGGCTTGCTGAGTATTATAGGCCCCACCCCTCCCAGCACCACCCCTGCCCTCAGCTCCTACCTCTCCCTCCTGCTGGGAGCACAGTGCTCTTTGACCTTGCCCTGCTGCATGCGGCCAAATAAAAGGTGTTCCCAGCACAGCCTGTGTTCT